TATAGTGGCCCGGGGGGGTTGGGGGGGGGTTAACCCCCCCCCCCCCCCCCCCCCACACACACACACACACACACACATTTTCCAACCACGTCAGTATTCAGCGGAGAGAGTATGGTGGACTAAAATTATATACTTTCCCTCAGCTCGAGGAAGACAGTTCCAGGGACACTCAGGTAAACTGATTAGAGATGTGGTCAGCAGTGAACTCGATGCAGTGGTCAGTGTCACTGTCAGTGGGTTATATTGATATTATTATTTTATAGACTTATTTGGTATCAATGCTATGTTTATATAATAAGTATCTTTCTGTGTTCAGGCATGGGATTTCTGTCAACAGATTTCTGTTATGTCTAAAAGTTCGCTCTGGGAATCTGTGCAGATAGGATGTAAAAAGCTTTTTTCCTCGGAACCACTTTTCCATGTTTTGAAATAAACATATTCAGTTCTAGGTCGGCAGAACTGTTTACTTTTGAAATGCATTCTTTTATTTGGGTGAAAAAAAATTAACCACTACACTAATACATGTTGCTATATTCTCACATGCCTATAGACAGTGCTCAGGTAGATAGCCACAGTTTACACCTAATGACAGCATCCTGGTCTTGCAATAGAAATTATAGTTAGGAAAATTTGACATGATTATATTTTAATGTTTTGATGCAAGAATATCATTTTCGTTGCTTCAGTTATCCTACACATGTTCACATTGTACTTTGTTGAAAAGAAAAATTTACTTTCATTTCTTTGTACAGAGGACTTAAATTTGACCTTGTTTGGTTTATATTTATTGATGTATCAACCGGAAATTTGTAAATGTTATATGATGTTATTTGCTTTTTAGAAATGATATACTTGTTTAGGTAAACTTTTTGAAAAAAATTCAAGTGCTTAATTTTCAGGAAGTTGACTCTAGATGGCAGCATTGATGTTTGTGACAATATGATAGATGCAAATGTGTTGAATCCATCATTTGCTCTTCAAAAAGAGGTAAGTGCATGCTCTTAGAGTAATCTAAAAATGTCTTATTTTTAGTAAATTGTTATAGATTCTATAAAAGGTGCTGAAATGTCAAACTTATTATATCATTTAAAATGCTTATTACAGCATATAAAGTCTTGTACACTGTAGGCATTTGAAAATGACCCAAAGTCATAATTTTTAAGTCTATATATATCCTGTAAACATCTATCACCATTTAAGGGTTCAAGGATATTAAAAATACGTCTAAAACTCGATTTTTAGTTTTTTATACGTTAGAAATAATCAATATTGTATCTAATACTCAATTAAGTTATATTTTTGCAACACGGACTAAGTGTTGGACGAGTTTTTACACCTGTCCGTGGCAGCCTTTAGGTTATACGGCACTTCCGGCCTTCCTTGTTTAGCAAGTTTGAATCAAGAAGATTTGCCTATAAGAGAAAAATGAGTTTATTTTTCAATTTTGGATCATTTGAAAATTTTGAAATAAATTTTAGAAATAAATTTGTTCATTTACCTTTAATTTAATGTGTTATTTTTCATTTCAGAGTGAAATTTTACTGCCTGGGGCCAGTTTAACATGCCCTCCCCTCTGCTGCATTTTAGTGCTTATTTTGGCTGACTGGCGGCAGCACCTTACGGGTCATGTCATGTCACTGGCAAGCTATGCCATTAATGTACCCTGATTTTTTAAATATTGTTTAGGCCTTGAGTAGAAGTATTTAAACCTGAAGTGTTGTGTTTGTTGATGCATGGGAAATATTTTTAAGAGAATTAAACGTTACAATGGAAGTGAATGGAATTTTTAATAGACGTTTGTAACCTACATGTAGTTCTCAGATTTGCAGATAAAATCGATCAGTCACTGAAATACAAGTAGGACTTTTCCACTAAACTCGTTCTAAAGGTGCATGTAGTATATAAATGGTTAATCAGACTTCGTATTTCGGATTAATGGCCTAATTGCACCAATAAGGGGCTTTGACCAACTTACTTGATAAAGTATGTGTTCCCATCATGCTAAAGTGACTCTTTTAAGGACTATTGAATGCATGATATTTTCTCTAGCTAAATTTACCTAGATCATATTGCGTTTTATTTTCAGGAGAAATGCTGGTTTCGATAATTTTTAAAATAAATATTAAAACAATTAAGACATTATCATAGTTCACATTACAGCATATTGTGCTTATTTATGACCATCATTATTTTCTTCAAATGCGGATAATTGGATTGGATGTAAAATCTGTTTTGGGTGACATCTTAATGTAAATGAAGTATTTGTTTCACTTTCGCTGGGATTACTTGAAATACTGGTGCTTCAATTTTAGTAAAGCCATTGAAAAAAAAAAGAAAGCAAAGCTGTTACTTATCCACTTTGCATTAATGTTAAGTGCTTTGCCACTGTGTAACAACCAGTCTCTTTCATCGCGCTGTTAGTATTTCAAAGTATTTCAACTATTACACAATATGGAAAATCGGTTTCACATCAAAGTGTCATCAAAATCAACCTGCCCCAAACGCATCTTTCGGTGCACTAATGTCTCCCCAGGGTATTTGTTTGAATGTGTCCATATTCTCTGACAGTGAAATAGCACTAATGCGGCGTACAGATCGTCCGCTTCTTCGGCCGTTGTCGTACTTCTTTGGTGTTTTTGGCTCCGGCGAAGGCGACGCGCCTGTAAAAGGGATAATATTAAGGTTTTTATTGCAAGAAAGGAATGGTTAAAACAATGGTGTTGATATTCGTGGTTTGTAATTATGGATGGTATTCTCACTAGTACTTACGTATACAACCCCTCTTTATTTCGCTCAAGTACGCACACATACACACTTGAACCAATGCACACCTCGACCAATAAATACACATACTTAAAGTTTCTTTTTCCTTAATAGTTGGAAATGCAGCACTCCTGCCCTGACTGGCTCCACTCCATCGACGTTCCTGCACCGGCGACCCTTGGATTGGTTCCATGACTTCCCTTCGGTGAGGAAGGACTGGGCTCGCCCCGTGGTTGCCGTCGTGGTCCTGAGGAGGCATTATCACGGGCACCATGCTAAAACTGTTTCTCGGCGTATAGGACCTGAGGACAGGCGTCGGGGATACCAAATAATGCTGCAAGGAAAGGGGGAAAGTACTGTCATTAAAAAATCGATTTAACTGTGTAAGTAAAATGTATATGATGAAAATATTTCAAGTGTGTTTATAACTTCGGACTAAACTGATTATTCCGAGACAATTATTTTTAATGCTCTCATATTATACGTATGTACAATACAGTGGAGTGTACATGTATCACCGATCATCGTGTCCGTGGATCACAAATATCCATTTAACTTACGTTTTACCACGTACACACTAATTAAACATATCATAATTGTCATACTTTTTGATTTGGTGCGTCGTCGGGCTTCGGTGACCAAACTTGCGTCCCTCTGCGAGATCCATAATAGGGCGTCCCGTCAGCGGCTCCGCTGCGGAGTGCCTCTCTCTTAAATAAACTATCTGCTTTCTGGTTGTAGTGCGGATTCATCATGGACGGACGCCTCTTGTCAGCTTCCACACCCCCATACGGACTTCTGGCTGGTCTGAAAGAAATATAAGACAGCAGACTGGGGTTAGAATCTATGGAGTCGACGGCCTGCTAGACCATGGACGTATATATCAAACTGATAACATTAACACTGTGGGTAACACAGATAATGCCATAAAACGAGGACAAATTCAGTGTATATGTAAGGCACAGGGACAGAAACTACGTTCGATTTTGTCTCATTAATCCTTTTTGTGGAAAGGCTTGGGTGGCGATGGGGGTAAGGAGGAAGGGGTATGTCATATGCTAAAAGGGTGAAGAGGGCCATGATCCACTGGGCTAACCCCCCCTCCCATGGAAACACCACTGCTATAGAAACGTATTTATCAAATATAAGTAGGGAAATGGAACTTACCACTGTTGGACTAAACCAAGGATACGCTTTTCATGCCAAAAATATCAATAGGGTAATACTTTGCTCCAATGAGTTTAGAAACAAGCAAAGGGAGTATTATAAAGGGAGCATCTTACACGTATTATTACAGGCTCAACTTCAAAACCTACATTTAAACGAAATGGTTTATTCCTTGGAAACCTTTCGACTACTTACAAAGCTGGATTGCGTGCACTTGACCACGCGCAGCAGCTCCAGATCACACCAATGATAACGAGCGTTACAAAAAGACCACATCCGGCGACGATGGCAGCGATTTCCCAGAGTTTTAAGCCCCTCCCCAGGCCCCAGTCGACCTTGACAGTTTTCTGTTCAGTGGACGCCTGTCGTCGGGGGCGTAACAGTAGTGTACCTGGCATTCTTCTTTGGTTCATCAATAAATAATTTGGCTGATGATTCGGCCGCAAGATTATTTGTGTAGTTGTGTAGTTAACGGCGCCTGCTTTTTTGTTTGAAAACGCTTGTTTCGCCTCTACTGCTCTTTGTTGAAGCATTTTCCTCACATAAAATGGATGTGTAGTCCAGTTTTTTTCCTGCGTGTATCTTTCTTTATCAACTGTTCGTTTATTATCCACGTTCTGAAGAGATATGTTTGATTTGGCATGTGTCTCTCTCGATACAGTGTCGGTTGCTGGACTAGATAGAGTAATAAAGTACCATATATTTTGTCGTTTCTTCTGCATTAATTTATCTTTTTTGTGAAGTTGAGTTAAGTCAGTGGGTCGGTATCTTGAAAACGCCTTGCCACCTGTGCGCATGCGCATCATTAATAGGTGTTTCCGTAGGTCACGCACATAAGGTAGTTTAACCGAAATCCGTAAATTTACCTCTTTATCGTACCGGTTGTCAAGTTTACCCGAAAACAGTCCAAATTTAACTCGTTGCTGCAAAACAAAAGCATTTTGTAGTATGTAGACATATTAAATGTGCAGGAAATATTGGCTGGTAAAAAACGCACGGAACTTAAATTTTAATATCATGAAAATTATGCATTACCATGTATGATTTAATAAAATTTCAACTCCAGCAGATTAGACTTGGACTCAGTAGCCTTTGTAACGTTCATACGGCAATCAATTAGGTAATGCTAGAAATATGGATATCGGAGATTCACATATACATCGCAATATCCGAGAAAAGGTATTTTATCCGTACAGCATTGGTTAAAAAGGTTGTCCCACCCCCTTTTCCGTGTACTTTTATTTACAAATGATCACCTAACAGCTGTTAATTGTTAGAAATAGTGTTTTTTATTACGTATACCGGGACAATATCCCACATAACAGAATTGTTTCCCATGTTGAAGGCTTGTCGCGCCGTCTACAGGAGATAATTGCAGTACGCGGTAGACGCACACGCTGTTAGGCACGTGATCTTTAATGAGCACACCCTAATGCTAATTGTCGATTTGAGGGGGTACCTCTTATAAATTTTACTAAATGGTATAAAATGTGTATATTTTCACCACTGTTTTGTATTTTTTTAACCATTAATCATGTTAGACACGGTATCCGTAATAAAAAGCACTATTTCTAACAGTTCCCAGCTGTGAGGTGATCATTTGTAAATAAAAGTACATGGAAATGGGGGTGGGACAACCTTTTTGACCAATGCTGTATATCATCTGCGGATACAGTGAGAGGGCACAGTGAACCACGTTTCCCTCTCCTTCGCCTCGGCTTCTCTATATCCTGTAATAACTTACAGTAACACGATCAAAACGAGACAAATTAAAGCAATTTTTCATTCCTGTAAACTATCAAACAGTCAAAGTTTTCCTGTCTGTCATTTCCCTTGCGCCCCCCCCCCCCGCCCCACCCTCCGTCCAAGCAAAATCCTGGGTCCGTCAATTAATGTTTAAGCTGTTCTCTCTATTTCTGTTGTAATAAATGTTCTTATCTCTGTCGTTGTAACATGGGTTCTCATTTCGCCTAAACTGACACCTTGCACACTATACCGATCATTCATTTTTTTCTGATATATATACATGTATATATTTATGTCTGAAAAACAGACATCGCCATATGGAAAAACAGCACCATTTGTATGTTAAAAGTTATTACCAAAAACTAGAAAAATATCCCTTAGTTTGAAAATAAAGAAATACATTTACTTACCGTTTTAAAGCTCGCGTTGTTAATATCATTAAATGAGAGTATTACTCCTTCGGCGGTTGAGTTTCTGAAATAGGAAGTGCCCCTTTCGCCCTTGTTTTGTGACGACAAACAATCAACCGTCAAAATCAACAAAGTGTTGCAAAATAACACTGCATATTTAATCGAATTGGGAGAAAACATTGTCTTAGTTTCAAATTATCGAATGATTATCAAGAATGATTTATTCCACTTGTTAGTTGTCCTGTCGCGGCACTGCTTCCCGTTGTGTAACTAATGTAAAACTCGATTTAACTCAGTTGCGCAACTCGAAAAACATTATATGTTATCCGCTCTCTCCAGTGTTAGCAGGGTAAAAACGCCAAACCACACCACAAGGCTGTAGCTGATTCCTTTGACCATGCCAAGCAAGGTACATTTGATTCATTTTCCAAATATATAAGGCCTATTATTTTGCGGAGATTCGTTGTTTGTTGCAAACCGCTATTAGCGCTCATTACGGCACAGGTTGTTTAGGCGTTGCTATTAGTGTTGCACTGATAACAAGTACTTGCCTCCGTCATTTCCTCAGGTGTTTTTGTGGTAGCTTGGGAAACTACGATAACTGTATATCTTGTTAGGGAATGATTAATTTTTCTAAGTGTTTTTTAATCTTATTTCAAGACCGAAGGCATCTTGATATGACGAAAGATTGAGAGGAATTAATCCATTAGAGCACGATTCTCTGTTTTGACATTCCTTTATAATTTTACCAACTATGAATTTTTTTCATATGAAAAATATAAAGGCTTGTCAGAGGTATGAGTTTATCAAAATTTCAGTTCAAATTGATGATAGTGTTATATAAAAAATGCACAGTCAATGATGGACCCAATATTTATTTATTTAGTGTGTGTGTGTGTGTGTGTGTGTGTGTGCGCGTGCGTGCGTGCCTGCGTGCCTGCCTACCTGTGTTTGTATGTGTGTTTGTGTGTGTGAGTGGCTAAAATATTTCCTTCCAAATATGAATCGACAAACAAGGTCAATTTAAATACTATGTAGGGCACAAAAATGAAAAATTATTTGATTTTGTATGGTTTTATTCTTTTTATGGAGGGGGGGGGGGGCAGGGGGAGGGGGGCCTGTACCCCTGATGCTGAGGAAGGGTCACGTCCTCCATGTTTCCTCTGGTCTGCTATTGACAGTTTGGACACAAGTCGTGTTGCCATGGAGTCAAGGACGGTCTGACAAAGCGATTAAAGTTGAACATATAGATTGCTATGGATATAAGACGACCAAATGATCTATTAAAATGCTTAGCTCCATTACTTTTGTTTTATCTGGGACCACAGAAGAAATTGTGATTGTTTTGACAATGATTTTCACTGTGACAATTGCAGTGACAATTGCCCATTGATGCATGTAAATGTTATTTCTCCAGGGTCAATCTTTCGTATATAGCATCAAGAATGTAATGCATTTTGATAACATGCACGCAGGACTTACTTTACACAGTCTGCGATCGAAGTCTAGCAGTCTATAGGTCTGAAAAGTACATGTATAAACTCATGGGTCCAGTATCACAAAGCATGTGCCAGAATTAGATTGTGGCTGGTCGCTTGTTGATAAAAATTTAGTCCCAACTGGATGGAATTTTAACAATCAGACCCGATAAAATTAGGCGTTCCTTGATATTAATCGAGATTGTCTTGGTTGGTGGCAAAAACGCAGTCCTGCATGTTAACGAGTGCTGGTTAATGATGAAACGAACTTTCTGCTTGTGTATTTCGATGTGCACTATATCTACCAATCTGCGTATATTAAGACTCTTAATAACATCTGTATGTGACAAGTATGAAGATGTCCATTCTTGAGATCATTCTGACATAGAGAGGAGAAGCAATTTATCAACATTACTTAAGGATACTGTAAGGGTTTCTTATCATCCAGATACCGAAAATGAGCTTTTCCTCCATCTAATTATTCAATAATGCATCTATCTAATCGGTATGGGGGCGTAACTTCATCCCTGAGTTGATCGCAAGTCTACGGGCTTTTAGTTTAAATACTTTTGTTTTTGGGACTATGAGCCCCTAATTACATATTTTCATTAAACAATTGTAGCAAGAAAATCAAACATTAAACAATTTATGTTATCCAAAATAATACATGTAAGGCAGTAAACGTTTACAGTATCCTAAAGGGGATAATATGTTTAATAGGCCTACATTTGGCAAAAACGCTTTTTCTTTCCTTTTTCTTATCTGAACTACTGATCTTAATATTATCGCATAAATATAAATACTTCTAAGAGCACAAACTACCTTTTGTTGCTATTTCAACCCCACCCCACCCCCACAGTTTCTTCTGCACGTAGGGTGGCCATCCCCTCTACCAGGGTGCAAGATATTATAGGATAGTAAAATAACCGTCTATTTATCTAAATACATGTCTGTGAACATTTTGTGCAAAATCAATCTGTGGCCCTGGTAGAGGGTAGGGTAGGGCGGCCGTTTCGCTGCTTTGTAAATAGGTGAGAGATAGAGATCGGTACTCAACGTAGCTCTGTAAGTAAGCTAAGATCTAATAAACGGGTATATTAGATCTTAGAAGTAAGCAAGTAAATTATTATCATGAAAATTGTCATGGTTGACGACTAAGTTTTGAACTTAAATCGTAAATCCCGCGCCAGCATTTAGTTTCAATTTTTGTTTAGAAGATATATAAGTCCCTAATTACGCTGTTTTCTTAAACAAAGGCATCATTTCGTCTCTTTACTGATAAAATAAGACCTTAACCTTTCAAGAACATTTCTTGACACTCGAAAGTAGTGCACATGGTTGGGATTAAATAGGAGTTACAACGGTATTGTACCCTGTTCAGGTAAGTGGGATTTGCTTAAAATCGGACAGCTTCCGGTCCCCCTCCCCCTCAAAAAAAAAAAAAAAAAAAAAAAAAAAAAATGCTGTTACGTCATCTGCTCAAATTCACTCATATTTGATACACAGCATTGACTCATAAGATGACGATATTTATTTTCGGCACTATCTGTGGAAAAATCCTAGCGTATCGATCCCCTTTAAATGTTTTCTAATCAAATTTCTTGTTCTTGTTTTATTCATCACACGTAATTTATTGTTAAACTTCCATGTATCGACATAGTATATCAGTGTTTCATACACGAGCTCGCGAGGACTTGTACTTGAACAGTCACTCCACCGTGTGCACACTCACATGCACAAGAACACGAAAACAGTCTTTCTTTCTTTTTCTCTTTCTTTCTCTCTCTTGCATGTGTCTCACAGTGTTTATGTGTGCATGTGTGTGTGTGCGCGGCTGTGCCATTGGTCAAAAAAAGGAAAACGTTCTTTATGTGCAATATGGACAATATCTATGTCACTTTGAACTTTGAGTTGTGTTCACCTGCCCTGTGAAATTTAAATAATAAGTGGTTGTGCTTGGATTGCGTTTAGTGTGACACTGCACACCCGCCACAATTTATTATCAAAATAGTGAATTACGCTGTAACTGACACAATGCGGAAAAATCTTTAAAATCTTGCATTGATCCTGTCATATTGCAGTTGTTTTCTCTGTTTGGTTTTCATGCTACAAATAACTTTGGAAATCGTATAAATTGAAAAGAACAACAAATATTATATGTTACTTGCCCTGAAATGCTGGGGAAATTCATTTATTCTAGCTATTTTTATCCTTGAAATTAAACCGAAAGGTTAACTGGCATCGAAAAGTTGTTTAATCTAGGATAACTGTGAGACGCAGAGAGCACTCAAAATTTTCATAGATGAACATGTCCCCAAACAACGAGGAAGCATTATCAGCAGCAGCATATCAACTTATCTCCTCCTTATACCAGTAGTGCGAGCATTGAGTGTTTGTATGTGATACAGCATAGCCTTGCTGTTAGGACATCAATTCTTATCATGACAGTGGATACCTGTAGTGTCAATAGATTGGAGCGTATGGAAAATGTTTTAACTGACTCAAGGTGTATTTTAGGAATGTTGCTCCCCAATCAAAGCATGTAACATGCAGTTTGTTTTGTTAAATTCAACATAGACAACTGTCCAAAATACAAAACTAGTTTTGTAAATGTCCTTGTAATTAAAAAAAACTGCGCTACAAAAATACATATTAAGGTAGACAAAAAAGGTTAATACAAAAACTTTCAGGTGGTGTCCCTTTTTGGTGCTGCCACCCATCAAGGCAAGTTGTCAGATACGGGAGCTGCTACTGTTTGTTTTACAAATAAACAAACAAAAAGTACATGGGCAAAGAACCTCTTTCATCATGGTTCAAAGGCTGCTCCTCCTAGTTGAATAAGTCATTCCTTGTGCAAGACACTGAAAATTGCCTTTTTAAAAAAGGACGGAGGGACTGACGGCTATTACTAAAAGTAATCAGATTTTTCCCGATTAGTAAAAATCGTTATATGCGGTGGAGAAGATTTTTTATGCGGTATGCCCATGTACATAGTTTCTTGCTCATGAGAAAAGCAAAACTTTGAAACTGCGATCCATTTCAAATTTTGATCAAAAACAAACTTTGATTCCAGCTTTAATCAACATACTTTATTTAAGCTGGACTTTCCAAGTTACGAAGATTCGCCCGACTGCTTTACGCAAAGTTGTGTTTGCATCCTATCTCTACTGTATCACAAATGAGTCCAAATAATTCACTGTCGCTGAATTAAACTGAATGGCAGACAAGCTTGACAAAACGTGTAATAGTATACTAACAAAACTGAGCATAGATCACAATACAGTTTCACAATCAAATTGTTTGGTTACATCTAGCGATCTAACTTCATAACATCTCATATAACGCATGACATATCATTCAATCTGTTTGATTAAAGACGCGCGTAACCTCACAGAAGAGAGATAAATCGTAGTCCAGTGGTATATATGGCCGGGGACTTAGGTGGCATTTTTACACTTGAGGAAAGATAACAGACGGGTGGAACCTGTACCTGTCACTTTAATTATACTCGCAAGCCCCTTGATTCTGATACATGTAGCGCCATGTCATTGTGGACAAGTTGGCCGACAATTGCCCAGTAGAATAACCGCGCCATGGCGACTGGATTTGCTGTAATCTGGCTGTTTTTGTTTTACGGAAAGATATGCAATACTGATTCAGGTATTGCGTATTTCTTTTCTATCGTGATACTTGGACCTTGGACGTAAAAACGTGACATAAGAGAAATGAGAATTACACATTTATGATGAGTATTTAATTTAACGTATAATACGTTATTTGATTTGCATGTTGTCAAATACATTCGTAATACTTAAAGATGTAGAATTTGCAACACAAGTAGGGCCTACTATTATTTGAAGATGGAATTTTTATTTAACACACACACAAAATTCATTGTTTTTTATTTAAGAGATATTACACTGTATTTATAAAAACAATACGACTTAACCAATACTTGTCTTTATATAAGAATCACATTTTTATTACAGACATTGTTACAGGGAAC